GCTGAAGCCTTGCTCTCCAAGCCTCTTGTGTCAGGTAGAGGCCAGCAGGAGGTTTGTCAGAGCCTCAGGAAGTTAGCCCAAGTTTGGAGAGTAATTTAACTAGCGGGAGTGGGTCCATCCAGCTGGAGACGGGTGCAGACTGGACCTGTGTGTTCTGAGTAGAATCTGGGGCTCCCGTGGATGTTCTGTGTCCTAGGGCGGGGGCAGTGGGCACCTTCCAGGAGGGCTGAGGGTAAGGTGGGAATGGGGGCTTGATGGGTGGGTCCCAGAGGAGAGACAGGTGGGAGGAGGCTGTTTGGGCCCCTTGTTCCCTTGACGGGGGCAGTAAGGATGCAGAGAGGGAACGAGATAAGGAAGCATCTACACGTCCCCGCTAACAGCTCCTTGTCCTGTCCTCTGCCCTGTGCCCTCAGGAGTTTACATTCTGATTGGAGCCGGCGCCCTCATGATGCTGGTGGGTTTCCTGGGCTGCTGTGGGGCTGTGCAGGAGTCCCAGTGCATGCTGGGATTGGTGAGTGTCCCGTCTGTGCCCACAGCCCCTGGTGTCCCAGGGTGCCCACCCGAGATCCCATAGACCAGGGGGCGGGACGGGGCAGAGCGGGTGCCCAGGGTGCCCATCTCATTGCCCGCATCCCCGGCCCCGTGATGACACGCTGCCCCTCTTCCTTTCTGGAACCTCTGTCTTATCACTCCCCTTAGGCAACTAAATGCCAGGACTTTGTTTTTCCCTTTGTCGAGGACCACGTTTGCTTTTTTTCCCTGAATCCACAGGTACCTTTGCCTCCCCTTCTTGTTTCAAAATTTGTTACAATTTTCCTCAAACTCCGGATTGTATTCACCTCCTTCTTTCCTCAAATCTCTGTGGTTTTTGTGAGCAGGTGAGGGTATTTTATCACTGACTCTTCGTTGACACCTTAGAAATATCAGTTCTGGGGTCTGTGCCACTCTCTCCTCCTGCGGCTTTCCTCTCCTGGCCTTGGCTGAGCGCTGGCAGTTCTGTGGACCCCCTCCCATCCCTCCCAGGCATCCCTTCCCGCCCCCAGATGCCGGGTCCCCAGATGCTTGTTCCGGCCTCACCCCAGCCCTTTCCTTTCCAGTTCTTTGGCTTCCTTTTGGTGATATTTGCCATTGAAATAGCTGCGGCCATCTGGGGATACTCCCACAAGGATGAGGTAGGTTTTTCCCGTAAGGTCTCTTGGGAGTTAGGGGATGGGGTGATGGCGGTGGAAGGGTGTCCCAGCTGTTCCCTTGCTTCGGCCTTTGGCCTTCAGCCATCAGACGTGCCTCTGAGGGGAGCTCCCCAGGGAAGGGAATGCGAATGTTCACACTACCCTGTGCGGGTGAGTGCCAGCCACTGCTTCCTGTGCCCTGGACGGCGCTGGCACAGAGTGGGTGTTCGGGCAGTATTGTTGGGTCAGTGTGTCTGCCCCTCACACCTCAGCAGCCCTCCCCTCAACTTCTCTGGAACGCGACTTAGGGAGATATGGCTTTATCTGGCCCGGACCCACCACACACACCCCCGGTCCCTCCCCCCGTCTCTAAATCGGTGCCACCACCAGCCAAGAGCTGTACCCCGCTCGCTGGGGGGTCCAGAGATGCATGGGTGGTGGTCCCCACTTCAAGGAGCTTTGACACCTAGTGTGGGAGAAAGACATGCATTTGACTAGTGTCACAGAAGTCATTTATAATCAGAAGCCCCGTGGGATTTGAAAGCCGGTGTGGGGAAGAGGACTCTCTTCTGGCTTCACGGAGACAGAGGGGTGTTGACCTAAACCCGGAAGGAGAGAGAGGATTTCAGGAGGAAAGCTGGTGGAGGCTGGACCTTCCCAGCAAAGAAAGGGTCTGAGCACAGCTGAGGGTGGGCTCAGTGGGGGGCCAGGGTAGGCTGCATCAGAACAGTGTTTCAGGAAGGGCTGTCTTGTCATGTTTAGCAGGAGGGGCCAAAGAAGAGAGACCCAGGCATTTTTTTTTTTCTTTTTTTTTTGCGGTACGCGGGCCTCTCACTGTTGTGGCCTCTCCCATTGCGGAGCACAGGCTCCAGACGCGCAGGCTCAGTGGCCATGGCTCACGGGCCCAGCCGCTCCGCGGCATGTGGGATCTTCCCCGACCAGGGCACGAACCCACGTCCCCTGCATCGGCAGGCGGACTCCCAACCACTGCGCCACCAGGGAAGCCCTGCAGGCGTTCTTAAACCCGGATGCACCCAGGTGCAGAAGCATAATGCTACTTACTTCGTATTATAAAATAATAGCCATTAGCCCTTCCCCCCCCGTTTGCACCAGACAGTGTGCTACAGGCTTAACACAATATATCACCTTTAAATCCTCGCCATAACCTCTGAGGTGGGGACTATTATAATCTCCATTCTACATACGCAGAAACTCATGTACAGAGAGGTTTGGTAATTTGCCAAAAGTCACCCAGTCTCTGAGTGAAGAAAAAAAGATGGAAGCCTGAAAAACTAGCCGAATCAGGAGTAGGATTTTTGTTTTTAGTTCCTTAGGTTGAGGCAATTTAATTTTGTTTCTAGGTAGAAGGGAAGGAGCCAAGTGGGGCTGAAGGGACCAACCAAAGGTGCAAAAAGAAGGGGAAATGGCTGGAGCGGTTCCTAGAGGATGTGGGAGGAGACGAGGGGGGACCCCGGAGGCCCCGAGGCGGGGAGGTCCTAGTCCAGTGGCTTGTCCGCTCCGGGAATTTGTGGCTGCACGTGAACAAGACAGAACAGGTGACGTTCGTTCATAAAGAAGCCATCTCTCCTCCTCTCTTGTCTGTGCATCCCAGGTGATCAAGGAAGTCCAGGAATTTTACAGGGACACCTACAACAAGCTGAAAAACAAGGACGAGCCCCAGCGGGAGACGCTGAAAGCCATCCACTACGCGGTACACCGGCTTCGCTAAGACGCTGCCCTTCTCCTTGCCTTTCTTCGGAGTGTGTGGGTGCATCTCTATTTCAGTCCTCTTTATTTATCTCTCCCACCCCCATCCCTGTCCTTCCCTCTGCAGCTGGACTGCTGTGGTTTGGCTGGGGGAGTAGAACAATTTATCTCAGACATCTGCCCCAAAAAGGACATACTCGACAACCTCACGACGAAGGTAAGCTTATGCGCAAGACCCTTGTGCCCGGCCCAGCTGCTCTGGGCAAATCCTGCCAAAGTGGACTTGCATTCAGCTCCCTTGATCTGGGAGGACAGCATCCCAGTGCTTCCTAAACACCTCTTCCCCATGGGAAGGACCCAAGGTGGCCATCTCCTTTCTCCCCTGCCCTGGGCCTCTGTTTCCTCAAGGGCAGCAAAACAAAGGCCAGGGAAATACCAAAGTGTTCTAGCTCCCTGCAACGATTGGGCCCTCCAGCCGTCATGCATGGGTGATGCTCCCAGGCCTGGACTCCTGCTTTACAGACTTGTGAGCAGCTCATGATTGTGAGCTAGAGCAAATGTCCAAACTTCAGGATAATAGGAGATATAACCCTATGGCCAGATAAGACATGGACCCCAAAGCAAGGGCTCATCACTCTTCCCTCCCTGATTTCTTGCCCAAATTTTGGGGACCCACCTCCCATCTCTCTGCTGGTTCTCCTTTCCATCCACCAGCCAGTCCCCAGCCCTTGCTCTGGGACCACCAGTGCTCCGGGTATGAGATGGGTGCCGTGGGGGGTAGGGGGAGCCTGGAGCAGGACCGTGTGTGACCTGGGTCTTGGTTTGCCCCCGCAAGTCCTGCCCTGAGGCCATCGAAGAGGTCTTCCAAAACAAATTCCACATCATAGGCGCTGTGGGCATCGGGATTGCCGTGGTGATGGTGAGTGCCGGGGGGCATCGGGAGGGAATCTTAGTAATTAAGATTGATTAAGCCCTTGCTCTGGCCAGGCACTGTTTTAGCTAATCAACTAATCTATCAACTAATTTAAGCGTCGCCATATCCACGAAGTGGGAACTATTCGTATTCCCATTTTACAGACTCGGGCCCGGAGAGACAGAGGTTGAGTATGTTGATCAAGGTCTCTGAGGTCAGGAGTGAAGCATCTGGGATTTGAACTCACTGTGTCTCCAGAATCCATTCCCATAACCATTAAGGTGCAGGGATAAATGTAAGGTGATTCCACTGTGTCTGGTCCACGGACCACACTTGGAACAGCAAGGATGTAGATCACCCAGACCTGTTAGTGATCCCGGGATAATCTTAAGAACATCTTTTCACCGTGCACCTGCTTTTCTTTGCCCCACGAAAGTAGTTCAGTAAAAGCAACATGGATGTGAACTGTCTCACCTCCCACTGTGGTCAGAAAGACACCACAAGGTGGAAAACCAGGAGGAGACTGAAAGCTTCCAACAATCTACTCTCATGTCAGGAGCCACCAGGGGCCAACCAGCTTCCCTGGGGTCACCCGTCTTCCCCCACAAGGGAGTGATGAGACTCTGTAGGGGACACAGCCTTCCTCTGCCCCTTGCAAAGACTCCCCCAGAGAGAGAATCGCTTCCTGTCTTAGTGGTAATTGACACCTCTCCTCTGCATCTAGGAAAGGCTTGAAGCAGCTTTCAGTAAAAGGCATGACAATACCTTTAAAACTAGAATAGAAAACACAGACATACACAAAGAGGGAAGTGAAAGTACTGGCCTGTAGACACTATGGGAATAGCTGGCGTTGGAGCATTCAATTTAACAGTGCTCACCTTGAGAGTTCCCAGGGAGCTGGCTTGTGCGGCCTGCAGTGGCTGATGGCTGCAGACTCAGAATGCCCCTGGTCAGCAGTCCCTCCACTGTCTTACTTACATTTCTCCTGCTTCACACCCTTTACCTCCTTTGGCCTCGTGGGCACCTTCTCCTTGTCATTTGTAGCGGCCAGCATGTCTCCTGTCTTCCCCTCTCCCTCCGCCTTCCCACAGCAAAGCCACATAATTCCTCACACCCCTTCCTGTCTTCCAGATATTTGGCATGATTTTCAGCATGATCCTGTGCTGTGCCATCCGCAGGAACCGAGAGATGGTCTAGAGTCAGCGCTGCAGCCGTGAGCAGGAAAGTTCACCCCTGAAGACTGTTGGTTATTTTCTCGGGGTTCTGTGTTTTTTTGTGGAGTTTTTTTGTTGTTGTTTTTCTTTGCCACTAACTTTAGTATTCATTCTGCATTTCTAAACAAAAAAGTTATTCTTCGTTTGTGTTTTTAATGCTTTATTCAATATTGACATTTGTAGTTAAGGGATTTGGGTTTGCTCTGGTTTATATTTTTTTGGTCATTTGTTTTTGCTTATTATGTTAAGCAGAAATCCTGCAATGAAAGGTACTATATTTGCTAGGCTCTAGGCAAAACATATTGTATATAAAGAGATTTTTGTGTGTGTCTTTAAATAGATAAAAAATGTCTATCAAGTTTAATCAGGTTGTAACTTATGTTAAAGACAATTTGATACATAATAAAAGATGATGACAACATCCCAAACTGGTTCTGGGGTTTTGCTTCCCTAAATTTTTTTTTAGAGCTGCTTATTCTTTCAAATGTTTTTCACCTGCTCTTTGCTCTGTGCGTACATGAGAAGTAGGTGGGAAGGTTGGTCTCCCTACTTTACTAGTGAAGAAATCAGGGCACGGAGGGATGAAGGGATTTTGATCCAAGATCTCACGTTGTTCACACATCAACACTGGAGCCTAGCCCAGGACTCTTTCTTGCAGCAATGTGATGTGTCTTGAGGATACAGTAGTAAACATGAGCTCCCCGATGGCCCAGACTTTGTTTTATTCCCTGCTATACCCTCAGCATCTAGCACCTATTGCCTAGTGCATGGTAGGTACTCAAGATTTGTTGCTTGAGTAAATGAGGGTATACTCATCAGGGTTTAAACAGAAGCAGAATATTAAATAACTTTTTTTACAGGGATTTGACCTTACACAATCGCTGGAGCTGGTTAAGCAGTCTCTATAAGACTGTGATCTTTGCTTCCGACGTTGGAACTTGACGCCCACAGGCAGAGAGTCAGGGAGGAAAGATGGATGTAATGTGGGCGAGATCGAGAATGTGGAGCCCACGAGGACAGACAAATCCGCATCTGTTCTTGTTCTTGATGATGGTGGTGTGGGTCCTGCAGAGGCCAGGACCCGATGTGGTGGACCCGAACACACACCGGCTGGGATGTGGAGAACCTGAGTAAGCCAGCAAAGCGGCAGCAATCCGTGTGAGCTGCGGAATGCCTGCTGCTCCATTTCCACCTCCGGTTGTGCTCCACTCTAACCAGAAAGGAGGAGGAAGAGGCATGCTGGGGGATGTCAGTCACCCTCACCAAGCCACCATGCAGGAGACAGTCTTTCCTCAGAAAGCCTACAATCTAGTGAGCAGTTGAGAGCATCAAGCCAGCAATTACGACAGTGAGATGAACACCACAAGAGGGAAAGTACAGAAGCGTAGGAAACCTGTTTTTATTTTCCACTCCTTGATTCAGTCTGGGCTCTTTCTCAACATTAGAAAAAGAGAGAGAGAACCAAAATGGCCCCCCGAACGCCATTACATTAAAAAATCAGAACACCAATGTTCACAGCAGCGTTATTCACGAGAGGCAAAAGGTGAAAACAACCCAAAAATGTCCATCAGCAGATGAAGGGATAAACAAAATGTGGTAGATCCATACAACAGAATACAGTAAGTCCCCTACATACGAATCTTCAAGTTGCAAACTTTCAAAGATGCGAATGTGCCTTCACATGTCCAATCACCTAAGTTAGTTCTCGTGTCTGGCGTACGTTGTCACGTGCGTGCATGCTCTACAAGTGGTTGTGCTTTTGTGTACTTTGTACGGTACTGTATAGGGTATAGTAGTACAGTATGTTTATTTCAAGCCCAGGATGTCCGGAAGCAAGTGTAAAAGCAGCGGTATGTAGCCGATTGTGTAAGTTGGGTACCTCGGCTAACTTTGTTGGACATACGAACAAATTGGACGTACAAGCGTCGTCTCGGAATGGAACTCGTTTGTATGTAGGGGACTTACTGTATTATTTCGCCTCAAAAAGAAATGAAATTCCAACACATGCTACAATACGGATGAGCCTTGAAGACATTATGCCAAGCAAAAGAAGCCAGACACAAAAGAATACTGGACGATCCCAATTATATGAGGTACCTAGAATAGGTAAATTCATAGAGACAGTAAGTAGATTGGAGGTAACCAGGGGCTGGGGAGAGGAGAATGGGGAGTTATTGTATAATGAGGGCAGAGTTTCCATTTGGGGTAAAGAAAAAGGCGTGGAAGTAGATAGTGATGATGGCTGCACAACACTGAAATGTACGCAGTGCCAGCGAACTGTACACCTAAAGGTGGTTAAAATGGTAAGTTGTATGCTAGGTTTATTTTACCACAATTAACAAAACACATCCAAGCTGGGTTAGCATCCTTGGGTCTCTCTGCTGTTCTGTGGCCTCTGTCCCTTACTAATTTGAGCACTTGAAGGCTAACTACTAGTAATTTCAGTTGTGGAAATAACAGGCCAGTCGTTTGTTTTATCTCACAGTGAATGAGACTGTCTTAATTCACGGCATCACAATCCCTGAATAATGGTAGTATTCACCCTGGGGACTTCCCTGGCGGTCCAGCGGTTTGGACTCCGCTTCCACTGCAGGGGCCATGGGCTCAATACCTGGTCAGGGAACCAAGATCCTGCATGCCAAAAAAAAGGTAATATCCACCCTGCTCGTGACTGCCAGCTCCCTCTAGGAAAAGCAGGTCCCATATACACACTTCCCAGTCCTGGCTTCTTTGCTGGAGAGAGTGGAGTCAGCAAAACAGATTGCTGCTACGTAAACTGAGGAGTAACTCAGAGTTATACCCTGTCTTTCCGTTTGTCATAAATAATGGACCACCTGGGTCGCTTCAGCGAAAGCGAACAGTTTATTAAGAACACAGGTAGTATCTCATGGAACCCAAACGTGGAAACACAGTTAAGCTGTTAAAGATCCTGGAACCACGGCCTGGGCACTCCTGCAGCTCTCCGCTTCTGGGCGCTGTGTTTTGCTCTCCAAAGACACCAATTGTCTCTGCTACTCAGTCTATGAGGGGTGGAAAGAGAGCAGGTGCTCAGCTCCCAGGCTTACACAGAGACAACCTCCACCAGCCCCACTTGAAGTTTTGTTTTTGTTTTTTTTTTTAAAGGGGCTTCAAATGCTTGGCTATTTATTTACTTATTTATATTTATTTCGGCTGTGTTGGGTCTTCGTTTCTGTGCGAGGGCTTTCTCTAGTTGTGGCAAGCGGGGGCCACTCTTCATCGCGGTGCGCGGGCCTCTCACTATCATGGCCTCTCTTGTGGAGCACAGGCTCCAGACGCGCAGGCTCAGTAGTTGTGGCTCACGGGCCTAGCTGCTCCGCGGCATGTGGGATCTTCCCGGACCAGGGCTCGAACCCGTGTCCCCTGCATTAGCAGGCAGATTCTCAACCACTGCACCACCAGGGAAGTCCCCCCACTTGAAGTTTTTAGGAGAGAAAGTCTGACCCAGTTGCAGTGGAATATCAACCCCTGACCAGTCGGCTGTCAGGTGGGGGGATCAGCACGTCATAAGGACTCGGCCACCCTCTGACCTGCAGGCCGGGCCCAGGACCGGGAGAGGAGAGCTGGCAGACACCCGGGAAGGGGCCAGCTGGTCTGCCCTCGCTGCTCTCAGTCCAGCCGGAACGAGCCTGCTCTGCTGGCCACCAGGACCAGGGGAAGCTCTGCAGCAGAGGGTAAACCAAGATGGCCCAGAGCTCTCAGGAAGTTTTAGGTTACAAACAGGCAATTGACAGCCGATAGCAACAATAGCTATGGGTCCAGAAAGAATCCCCTTGAGCAAAAGAGGATATAGCCGGTATGTTGGCCTCTTGGTTCAACTGTGAAATGCAGCCCAAGGGCAACAAATATGAATAGAGACAGCTGGATAGTAAAAGGTTCTTACTTCACCTGGTGCCCTTCAGGACAGAAAGCGCTTTAAAATCCCCACACTCCTGGCACTCTCTTCACAAGGGCCCACCTCTCCACATCCCTCATCCTCCAGAGTAGAGTCAAGTGGTGCAAGGTTGGAGCCAAGACCCCCTCTGAATCCCAGCACTCGTTCCAGACCTCTGTTGTTTCCCTCCCCCAGGAAGGAGGTTTTAACTAGTGCATTAGGGCACTCCAGGGGTACGGTGAACTTTTATTTCACTGACAGGCTAGGGCATCTTATGAGCTTCTTGGGCACAAGATGGAAAAGTATGAGTGGACTTAAACAGCGCAAGTAGGCAGATCCATAGCTGGGTGAATCCAGCCCCCGTACAAGGGCAGAGGGCTCCACTGGGGAGCTACAGGGCCCTGCTTTGCCCTACCTTGGTCAATGTTTTTAATGATAACTTGGAATATTATTAAACACTGTAGGTTTCACAAAGCTCTAAGAAATATCCAGTAACTTGGGTAACAAATTATAGTTCAAAGAGATCTCAGGGTCTAGAATAATGGATTATAACACCCAAAGGATATATCTTAACAGGAATTAATAATCAGTAAATGAGGTCAAGCAATCAGTATAATATGTTTAGCAGAGTTCCTGATCCTTACACTTCAAGGAGCTGAGTAAGTTAAGCACATGTTTGGCTGGTTGGATAATACTGTTTATCCCCCATATGTTAAGTCCAGAGGCAACCACAGGTGTTGATTTAGTAGCAAGGCGCTGTCAAAAATGGCATCGCTGTGATTCTCTTGGCTTGTACCCCATGGTCACAAGGTAGCTGCCACAACTCCAAACATCTCTACATTCACAGCAGGAAGTGAGGAGAAGAGCAAATGCTTCGTACAAATACCTTTTCTATCTAAAATGCAAAAGCTGGGCTTCCCTGGTGGCGCAGTGGTTGAGAGTCCGCCCGCCAATGCAGGGGACGCGGGTTCGTGCCCTGGTCCGGGAAGATCCCACGTGCCGCGGAGCGGCTGGGCCCGTGAGCCGTGGCCGCTGAGCCTGCGTGTCCGGAGCCTGCGCTCCGCAACGGGAGAGGCCGCAACAGCGAGAGGCCCGCGTACCGCAAAATAAATAAATAAATAAATGAATAAATAAAATGCAAAAGCTTCTTCCAACAGACTGGAAGCCAACTTCCATTTGTGAATCATTAGCCAAAATCTGACACATGGGTACTCAGAGCTATAAAGGAAGCTGAGAACATGAGTATCTAGTTCTTCCAATCTATAGTGAAAGTGGAAAAGGGGCAAATGAGATGTGAGTGTCTCGCTGGTGTTTTGTTTTGGGTTTTTTTTGACCGCACCACACGGCTTGTGGGATCTTAGTTCCCCAACCAGGGATTGAACCTGGGCCCTGGTAGTGAAAGTGCTGAGTCTTAACCACTGGACCGCCAGGGAATTCCCAGATGTGTTCTATTCCATTTTACAGCTGGAGAACTTGAGGTTCAGAGAAGTTACATATTTGTCCCAAGATCATCCAGTTAATACACTAGATAC